ATGCGCGGAGCCGCAGGGAAGTCGCCCCCGGGGAGTGAGCGCGGCTGTCCCGGCCGCGGGAGGAGGCAACTTTGAGGTCGGGTTTCCCGCGGCCCCCGGCGTCCTGGGGCCGGAAAGCGTCGGGCGGCTCTCGGCGGCCGCCCCGTCCCTGCCGCGGGGAGCGAGGGGACCGAGACGTGTGGCTTCCTGCCCGTTCGTAGGTCCACAGCATGTCCTCCTCCGGCCCAGCTGCAGAGGGAGAGGGAACCCCCGCCCAGCCCGCGTCCGAGAAAGAACCCGAAATGCCTGGCCCGAGAGAGGAAAGTGAAGAGGAGGACGAGGATGACGAGGAGGAGGAAGAGGAGGAGGAGGAAGAAAAAGGTGGGAGAAAGTCGCGTCCCTGGTGATGGATTTCACAGAAAACCGGTCTCTTGCCCCCCTTTTTTTTGCGCCTGGAGACGCTAAATCGGAGGGATCTCTAGCGAGAATGTTTGCGGGATTTTTCCCTTTTTGGTGCTGAGCAATAGCAGAGATCGAACTTGGTGAATTCCGGGGTTGGTAGAAAATATTTGTTAGCGTTGTTACTACGTATTTTGGAGTGCGGTTGACTTCTGGCCAGCAGTGTGTGTTCGTAACGTTTTCTCATTTGACAGGATGTTTCTAAGTTTCAGATCTGTTTTTAAAACCGTTAGCTTTTGAAGTTGCTAGGGTAGCCGTTTTTAATTTTCGTCTGTTGCTAATTTAAGTACAGGTGCTTTGCCTTTTGACGTTATTGCGAGGTCCTTCATGAAACCAGTAATGAAGTTGTTATGCTAGTCCTGGAAATATTTGGACAACTTTAATATCTTTGCTGAACTTCAGCAGAGGCCCTTTTCAGAGGCTTGGGGGAGTTGACTTTCACGGGGAAACACCAGTGAAAGCTGTTGCTACTTGAGAAAGTAGTTAAATATGAAAGCAGTGAACTATGAAAGAGTTCCGAAAGCTGTCTCAGTTTTGGAGTTGCAGAAGAGCAGTATTAACCATTATTTACCTAGAGGCACGAAACAGAAGAACCTTACAGAAATCAGGAGTGGTACAGCATTGCTTTATCCAGCACACATGGGGCAGTGCCCGCTTCCTAAAACGTTTGCAGACACTTAAAAATCCGTATCACAGTTCTTAGCATTCTCTGATGATGTTAGCCCAGTCTAGGTTTGTTTAACATAAAGCTCCAGCTCAGCCATACTGGGGAAGAAGTTTAAGTTTTCTTTCCAGACCCAGGTTTAACTGTCAGTTTCTTTAAAGTCTAAACGTGCCCATGGTCAGCATTTTGTAAATACAATCTGGATTCAGATTACACGGTATGCCTTTCGTTTGTTTAAAGTGGTAGGTGTTGTGAGAAAGGAGCCCTTCCAGACTTAAGTTCAAAAATGCTTAGAAAAATATATAAATTACTTTTAAATTATTCATAATGCAGTAACTGAAATTTGGCTGCAGTATCTCAACTATTAGTCCAAAATTTTCTCAGCGTTTTTTCCTCCAATTTTTTATTTTTTAGTCTCTTTTTAAAGACAGGGTTTTGATACCACTTAGGTGATGGATTCCTGTGTGTCAGGAAAAATTATAGAAATCGTGTAAAAATACTACAAATGGCAGATATAGTAATGCTTGGGGGACTGATGATAGTTCAAATTGTGATTTTTTTTTTTTTCAAAGTTACCCCTAAGCAATTCTGTAGTTCTAATTGCTTATTGTTCTATTCCCTCATTTGGGGTGTTTGTGGAACAACTAAGATTGTAAAGGTTTTTATCCTAGTTAGCCCTGAAAATTTAATTCTGCTGAGGCATCACAGAAATAAGGCAGTGTAGTCCGTGCCAAATGAAGGTGGAATTGACTTGACTTGGGTGGGGGAGGAGCTAGTAAAAGATGACTTTTAGGTTTCTGTTTTCGGCAATTGAGTTGACAATATTATTGTTTTCTGAAAAATAGAACTCACAAAGGTGAGCAGATTTGGAGATGATTGTGACTTCTGTTTTGATGCACTGCTTTAGGTGCCTGTAGGACATGAAGTGGAGCTGTCCAGTTGTTGGCCCTGATAGCGGATTTGAAACTCTTGACTAGGGAGAGATCAGGAAAGTCATTAGCTTATAGGTGGTAATCGGAGGTGAGCAAATCGTTTAAATCACTCAGGGAAAGGAAGTAGCACAATAACAGGGTTTGCTTTAGAGTGCATTGTCTTCACCCTGGACACCATTGCCAGACTAAACCTGCTGGAATCCCTTTATCCTTCCTAATTCTTTATGTGCAAATCCTTATGTCTCCAAATCTTACCTATCCTTCAGAGCCAGCTCCAGTGTTTTGATCGTTTTTCCTTAATCCAAAAATAATTACTTTCTTCAATGCAGAGAACTTTTATTTGTAGATTTCCTTTAGTATTTTATCATCTTCTGCTTGGAGTATGATTGTGTCTCATCACCACCAGTAGACGTGATCTCTTTCAAGAGTTATTCAGTGTCTTAACCATCTGTTCATCCCCCCCCCCTTAGTAGCTAGTGAAGCTTTGCACAAAACAGGCATTCATTTGAATGAAGGAAAGGACCTTCAGTGATATAGTGTCCTCTTTTTTTATCTGAATTTATCTCAGCAGGTAAATCGTTTGGATTTTTAAGCTCAGTGTTTTTACATTTTTAAATATACGTTCTATATCTTCTAGCCTTTTTTTTTTTTTATAAAAGCAGTCTGTATTCTAAAACAATTTAACTTTTTTAGAATGATTTATGACCATTGTTATAAGCATTTACTAAACTACAAAGTAACGTCCTCCCAGTCCATTGCAGTAAATGTAAACTTGTAGAATTTTACCCTATTTATAGCAGCTTGTTTTTCTTTCATCTGCTTACTGAATTATTGCTTTTCTTTGTATGTTTTTGAAGTTGTTATAATCTCAGTCTAAACTTCCTGTTTGATGATGTACCATAAACTAAATCACAATCAACAGAATTAGGTCTAATCAAAGAGTAGACTTAGTGAAGGCCTTAGTGATTTTTCACAGTGACTGGACTTTCATTAGCAGTAATTGTAGTTCAATGAAAGTTTGTTTGCTTTATGATTTTTTTTTTAAACTGGATCCCTTGTGAGTTTGCCAGGTAAGTAAAATGCTACTCTAAAAATTCAGTGATGCTATTAGTATTTTAATCTTTCATCATTTGCTTCTCAAAGTCATGCTCAGAAGAAGTGTAAGGTATTAGAGGTTTCTGCAGTTTTTTCTACGTTTATCCAGTAAATATGTTTTTTAAGCTTTTAGCTATTTAAGAAGTATTAAATTAATTTCCAGAAAAGAGTCTCATCGTGGAAGGCAAGAGGGAAAAGAAAAAAGTAGAGAGATTGACCATGCAAGTCTCTTCCTTACAGAGAGAGCCATTTACCATTGCACAAGGTAAGTTTATTCTGTTCTTTCCATTTTATGGTAAAAATGCCTAAATATACAAAATGATGGTCAGCAGTGCTCAGTTTTACTGTTTACGAAGTAGTTATGTATTATGAGTATAATTTTATTTAGCTTGCCCTATTCAGCAAAAGCTGTATGTAAATTATGCTGTAAAATAATCGTGATTAAAATAACTTTGTAAATGTTTTAACACGTAATGGGTATTTAATTATTACAGTGTTTTTTGTTTTTTTTCTTTTTTTCTAGGAAAGGGGCAGAAACTTTGTGAAATTGAAAGGATACATTTCTTCCTGAGTAAAAAGAAAACAGATGAACTTCGAAATCTACATAAACTGCTTTACAACAGACCAGGCACAGTTAAGACCATTTTTCTATCTTTAACCTAGTAACATGTTTATGTATTAAAATACTTCACAATAGAAGCATTATTTTAGTTCTGGAAAGGACTTCAGCAATCAAGTAGTTCCAGTTTCTGTACCATACTAGTGAACAAACTGAGACACATACTTATTAAATGATTTATCATAGAATACATAGATATTAGCAGATAGGATTATAATATCCAGGCCTTGTACTATAGTTGTTTTTATGCCAAACTGAAATTTCAAAATGTGAAATCCAAATTGTGGTGATTTTTAGTGATCTTTAAATGTATTAGAAATAATTTATTTTTTGGATGTTTCTAGCTATTCAGAATAAATGATACAGTATAATTGTATCTCATTTTGAGCAAATATCTGATAAATTAGGTGGTAATTCTTTGTCAGGGAATTTGTCAGAACAAATCAGTATTTCATTTACCAAATTACACTGTACATACAACTTCAGTGTTTCGTATAATTGAGAGGAAATTTTGCTTTGGGTTATGCATGGGCAAAGTGAAGTTTGACGTTGTTAGAATCAAATGTCTGAAGCATGGTATAATTTCATGTCATCCTGACTATAATCTAATTTACACAAGTCTTATTATTGCTAAATGGTATTAACTTTTGGAGGTCCTCTGTTATTTTTAAAGAGTAAAATCCATGACTCTCTGATTTGGGAAATAAATATTACTAGTAACTTGTATTACTTAGGAAAAGGGAGTTTTCCTTTTCCAAGTTTCCAAGAAGTAACTTTCCACATCCCCTAGTATTGTCAGGTAACGTTTAGTTGTAGTTTTATAATTGCCAGTAAAAATTCCCAGATGGAAATTCATTCAAAGTGAAATTGTTATTTTTAAAGAATTAAACTTATAAGCCTTTTATAACATTAATATTTTAGTAACAAGTATACTTTTCAGTTGTGAATAAGAAATTTTGAATAAACCACTATTAGAAGTGGGAGACAGATATGAAAATAAAGATGTTGGCTTTGAATTTTTTTCTTATGTACATTACTGGGTAATAGCATTAATAATAAGGGAAACTTTTTCAGGTGTCCTCATTAAAGAAGAATGTGGGTCAGTTCAGTGGCTTTCCATTTGAAAAAGGAAGTGTCCAATATAAAAAGAAGGAAGAAATGTTGAAAAAGTAAGTTATTTTCATAAGTATTGTGTTTTGATCAATGTGTTATAAGTTTATTTTTAAACATTTAAATATGACCATTCAGACATTTTTAGGAAACTAATTCTTTGCTTTAAATGCCAAGATCTGACTTTTTCATAACTATCAACTTGGGATGTTCATTACTTTCCAATAGTGACTATTTAAGAGTGTCGAAAAGTCACTAAAGACGTTTCTATTTCTTAGAAGAACCGTATACACAAGTTGTTCACATTGTCCAAAAGATAGGTCTAAGGGGAATATAGTGAAAAAACTCCCCCACTCTTGCTCCCTGCCAGCCACTCTGTTTCCCCAACTTATAGGTACCATTTAAACTATTTTGAAGATAACCAGTTTGATAGGAACAGTGTTCTTCACCATAATGCAAGCAAGATACTGTATTAAGAGCTTTTGTTTGTTAAATCCCATATAGTTTAAGAGTTATAAATAATAAAGATGATTACTTATTCCTTCATCAAAATGTTGTCATAGTGGAGTGCTGAGGGGAAATGTAGTATTTAATCACCAATCCGAAGAATTGTCAAATCCATGAATTTTGTAGTACTGAAAACCTTTTACATTTTTCCTAGTGAATTGACTTTTTTTTTTTTTAAGATTTTATTTATTTATTTAACAGAGAGAGACACAGCGAGAGAGGGAACACAAGCAGGGGGAGTGGGAGAGGGAGAAGCAGGCTTCCCGCAGAGCAGGGAGCCCTATGTGGGGCTCAATCCCAGGACCCCGGGATCATGACCTGAGCCGAAGGTAGACGCTTAATGACTGAGCCACCCAGGCGCCCCTGACTTTTTTTTTTTTTTTTTTTAATGTAGGCTCCATGCCCAGCATGGAGCCCAATGTGGGCCTTGAATTCATGACCCTGAGATTGAGACCTGAGCTGAGCTCAAGAGTCAGATGCTTAACCAACTGAGCCACCCAAATGCCCCAGCTTAGTTTATTCTTTTTACTATCTTTAAAACTTACAGGCTCCTGGGTGGCCCAGATGGTTAAGCGTTGGCCTTCGGCTCAGGTCATGATCCCAGGGTCCTGGGATTGAGCCCCACGTCAGGCTTCCTACTCAGTGGGGAGCCTGCTTCTCCCTCTCCCTCTGCTATTCATTCCACTTGTGCTCTCTGGCTCTCTCTCTCTGTCAAATAAATAAATAAAATCTTCTTAAAAATAAAACTTAATTGGTAAATGGTGTTTTCAATTTATTAATAATAACAGTTTTGGTATATGGTTGTATTTTGTACATTAGTCAAGATTATTAGGAAAGTACTTTTTAGATTCGGGGGAACATTGGATGTTTTTTTAATGTTTGTACCTGAGCCAGTTTGTTTAGCAATTGTCTTTATGTTGTGGAGAATATTTATAAACTTTGCTACATAATAAACTTGGTTTCTTTCATTTTCTGTTTTAGATTTAGAAATGCCATGTTAAAGAGCATCTGTGAGGTTCTTGATTTGGAGAGATCAGGTGTAAATAGTGAACTGGTGAAGAGGATCTTGAATTTCTTAATGCATCCAAAGCCTTCTGGCAAAGTGAGGACCGATTTTTATTATTTCAATACAAATCAATTATTTATAGACTCTCCTTTCTTTTTTTATGGAACAATTTAATTTGTTAGCAGCATTGCTTGTCAGTATTCAGTATTGCCTTCTACATTCAAAGAATATACTACTCTGTTGACATATCTGCAACAATTTCATGATAGAAATAACATAGAAGCCAGACAGATCTATCCTCTTATCAGATTAAAAAAGGTATAAGATTGAGAAAAATAATTATTCACTAAATTGATGTTAAATGGACAGAAATACAAACTAAATTCCAGGGTTATATATCTAGAAGGCACTGGAAGAACAGAAACAGGTTGAGTTGAGGGTGAGGTGTTGGGTTGGGCAGGGAGGGTATGCAACCTTCAACTAGGTCAGGAAAGATAAGATGGGGTATATTAGAACTGGATATTTTCTAGACACTGGAAGAAGGTTATGAAAATAGAACATTAAAAAAAAACAAACCCCAAAACTGACTCTTACAGGTTTCTTGGATTGGGTTTCCAGAATCAGCAGAGCCCAGGAGTTGGACAGGGAAGTAAAATGGCCTTATACTTTCCCCCATTCTTCCCTAAATTTAGATTAGGTTTGCCCGGATTGTTTAACAAATGACATCACTGATTTAAAATGTCTCTTGAAGTGTTACTTACATGACCTTGCTCTTTAGTTTGAAGTTTGTCAGTATATATTTTCGTATTCTTCCTTATTTTGATAGCAAAGAAATTATGAAGAGATCTAGAGGACCTAGGAGTTCAGGGGAATACCACTGGTGAGGGAAGAGGGCATAAAGATTAGAAATCAGAAAATAGCTCTGGGACTTTGGTTTTATCTGCTGTTGGTCCAGTTTACCATTAGCTCGGCAAAAACTGATAAAGGATATTTTTTAAGTTGTCATGCAACTAAAAACCCAAGGGCCATGGTGAATCTTTTGTTTTGTTTTTGGTATTTTGAATTGGCTTAAAGATGGGATTATCTATTTTTCTAAACTTTTACTATGGCCAGACCTCTACTTACAATTTCATGTGACAAATTGAAAACCATTTCTCCAGAAGACATTACTAAGTTGCTTAAGTTATGAGGGATGTGTTTATATTCTTTTCCTCAGTGATTTAGGACCTGATTACTCTCTTAAAAATTCATGAGGACTCCAGAAGCTTTTATGTGGGTTATTTTGATATTTACTGTATTATAAATAAAAGCTGAAAAATTTTTAAATAACAGTAAGCCTACTACATATTAACACAGGTAATATTTTGTATGAAAAATAACTATACTTCCAAAAAAATTAGAAGAATGGTATATTTTTGCAAGTCTGTTCATGTCTGGCTTAAGAGAAGACCGCTGTATTCTCATTTGCTTCTGCATTTCAGTCTATTGCACATGTTATTTTTTTGCTTAAAGTATGTAAAGAAAATCAGCTTCTCACAGGTAAGTAATCAGAAAAAGGAATATTTTAAAAGCTTTGAGATAATTACAGGTGTTCTTTGATACAATACCAAAACTCCACAGTGGTAGTTTATCTAAAGGTTAGTTGTAATGTGGTGTCTGAAACCAAGTTCTTGAACTCTTAAACCTTTTATCTATGATTTTGTAATTGCATTCACCATTTGGAAATTATTGGTTTTCTGAATTATGCAGATCTTCCAAATATGGGCACATTTCCATTAAACACTGTCAAAAAGTCATTCATTAATATAATCACCATCTCATGAGAAGAATCATTAGGTATTGGGAGGCTGTTAGTTCATGGTGATGGATGTGAATTATCCCTGTGAAGTTTTGAAATTTGTCATTGGCAATAAATACCATCAGTTGCTTTCCTTGCAGTGACAGGCTCATGTTCATTTTGAACACATGTCTTTTATTTATTTATTTATTTTTTAAAGATTTTATTTATTTATTCATGAGAGATAGAGAGAGAGAGGCAGAGGGAGAAGCAGGCTCCCCGCGGAGCAGGG